ACCAGGGCTGATCGGGCTGATGTACCGGGGGTACACCTACTCGGGGGGTACAACCGCTTTGTTACACCGGTCACACCAATTGATGCGACATCAGCCAAGAAGGTGTAGGCAGAACGCATAGGTCACACCACAAACGTGACCAAAAATATGGTCACACCATACGTGCGACATGCGAATGACGTCACACTTGTAATGAGACACATGTCACTTTAGTTTTTCCAGTGTATGGAGCGAGGCCGTGAACGTCACACTAGTACCTTTACAGTACAATGCACAACACAGTACAATACAGTACATCGTCACATCGGCAGCGCGACACGACACACCAGCACGATCATAACCACAGACATAAAACGTGGTCGAAATAACTACTCTGTTTTGTCTTGCGAAACACTTGCCAGTAAATGTATTGCACTCCTCGCAAAATGCTTAGGGCCTCTGAGTGCGGCAGCGCGGAGCGTGTTCATTGGCACGGAATGTGGAGCAAACATCGCCCCGTTCCTCCCCGCCCCGCCTCGCCCCGCCACAATGGGTGGCTAGGCTATCGAGTGCCGAGCCGCGCCGCGCCGGGCGACGGCAACCGGGACGCCAGCAGGCAGGCCGTGCGTGTGGTCCGGTGTGGTCGGTTCTCGTGGTGGATTTGACAATGGGTTAATCGGGTTCTGTTTGCACCCCTCGCTTGACGGCCCCGCGGCCCCTCCACATGCCGGCCACGTCCGCTCCGCTGCTGTCCGCTGCTCTGGCGGCGGGGGGAGAGGGGAGGCAGAATGTGGCTGGCGGGGAAACCGGAGTAAACACCCTTTCAAAGAGCGATGCTCGATACGCAGTCTCGTGTTGCGAGTGTGTGTGTATGTTCAAAACGACCTGGTTAGTCGCCTTTACTGGTAAAACAAAGATGCTGAGTCGTATCTTTCTAGGGATTCTCAAGAAATATTCAGCCCACACCTTTTAAAAGGTGCTAAAAATTAGCGAAATGTGCCTTTGAAGACTAAACCTTTAGGTCGGACTTGGCATCTTTGCTTTTCCAATGTTGCCAACATTTTCCCGTCTTCCTTCAGAGACTGTTAATGTTTGGCTCTTTTGCTTGCCAAAATTTGCTCTCCTTCTAAAAGAGGGCCATTTTAGGGGGGGGGGGGGTTAGTATGCAGGATTTTTGCATGCTTTTTGCGAATCGCGTTCCTCTGTCGCAGTGCTCACACTATGCTCGATAATAAAACGAGAGCACAGAGTGGTGGGCAGGTAGCGCGGAGAGGTGCGCGGAGGGCGGATACGGCCCGGAAACAGAGTGTGCCCGGAGGTGCCGGTGGCTTGGCGCGAGGGCGTCGTTCGTTAAGCCCCCCCGCCGCCGTTGCTGTGGCTTGTACTTACGTCGACCTCGGCGCCGGGCACGGTGTGGTTGGTGAAGGCGGGCCGCCTCCCCTTGATGAAGGTGAAGATCTTCTTGTTGTCGCGGAACCAGGCCACCATGTGCAGGTCGGTGAACTGCACCGAGTAGCGGCACCGCAACAGGGCCTGGCCGCCCAGCGGCACCCACTGAGGCGCCTCCAGGCGCACGTTGATGGCCCGCGCGGCGTGTGCTGCAAGAAAACAATGCCATCAGCAAAAATTAACATCACATTTTTGTTTACAAAAAAACAAAACAAAAAAACAAAACAAAAAACAACAACTAAAAACAAATTTAGAGTTGTAAATTTTAAGTGGAGGGATCAGAACAAATTATGTTCTACTTTCGCAGCTGGGGTTAACTCCTGTACAAACCGTAATTCAAATACTTGGGGATGAAGGTTAACAAAGAAATATTTTTTGACACTAGACCTCACCGAAAAGAAATTGTTCATTAATGGATATAGGTCAAGGTACGTACACGTTGTGCGATTTTTCTGAGGAGAACCCTACGCGCATGGGATCTATTTCTCATAGCTGTATGGTAAAAATCAATTTTATAGTACAGAGCAAATTTACAACTAGATCAAACTTTCTAATTCAACAGAACATCCCTCCATTCACAAAAACAAGGAAAACGGCATTATTAAGCCGCGGCGAAAACAATTATTTTGTTTTGGGGGAAGCAGGGGCGGGCGTGCATTTACATGCGACACCGTTTGGTGCGGCTGCAGCGCTAATTGAAAACACGCGGCGCCGGGCGTGTGCTTTCATGCTTGTGTCGCACTGATTGGGCCGGCAGGTCTGAGCGGACGAATCAACTTTGGCGTGAGCCGGGCCGCGGGCAAGCGCCAGAGATTCCAAAAGGCGCACGATCCAATTATACATGCAAACAGATAAACGCACGCGCACGGACGCAATGCGTGTGCGAGCGCGCGGGGGCGTATGGGCCTCATGCACTGCATGGGACGCGCGGCGGACTCTAAACAAATTGCCGAGGGGACGCAGCTGCTGCTCCACGCGTCTCGCTCTGCTATTGGAAGGGACGAGTTATGTACGCCCGGTCCCGGCCCGGCCGCCGGGGCGCGGGGCCGCAGGGCCGCAGGTGCATCGCATTGGCCATCGGCGTGCCTGCCGACCCGGGCCCGCACCGCGTGCATGACCCCCC